TTTACTTAGCTTTATTCTGTATATATATTCTAATTTATTATAAATCTCTATTTCTTGCTAGGAATGTACAAGTTATATATCATATTATTGTCCCTACGTTTTAAAATTATGTATTTTATTTTGTAATGTTTTTCTAAAGTACATTTTCTAAATGTACTATAACAAAAATCTTGTTCCATTTTTGTTACTTCTCAAAATATTGACCGTTAAGAATAATTACTTTCTACTATTTAATAATGAAAACATATCTTAGTTGGGCTATTGTACCTTTCTAAAAACAAGAAAATATTCTTTCAGTGTCCAGTTGGAGTGCCGTATAATTATACACTCTAGCCATGAAGTGTATGAGTAATCTTCAGATTGTGTTCTAGGAAAAGCCAGGTTTAGTATCAGCTAGCATGTAGTGTTTCCTCATGTCAGGTGTACAAGGTGATTTTTCAAATAGTTTGTTTTGTGTCTTTGATCTTGGTAAGCTTTCTAAAGTGCTGATATTACATTCTGGGGAAAAACTGATACATTCAAAAGTAGCCAGTCATTATCTTTTAAATTAACTTACTTTTAAAAGTATTTTTTGTATTAGTGGGATTTGAGGTATAGTTAAGGTATTCAGAACAATACTCACAGATATGTTTCTGTTTTGAAGTAAATATATGATTTTAGTGTCAAAATTAATTGCCCATCTTGGGTATTAAGCATTATTATCAAAATGGTGTATTATATATTAATTCAATTGACATACGTGCAAAACGTAAAAATAAATTGGAGCATTATTTTCTGAATACTTTTTTATTAATTAATTTTAATGAAGTGCCATTGCTTTACATTCTTGTTAATATTCTGACGGTATAGGATTTTCCCCTCAGGTATGGTCACTCTAACTCTCCCACCACCAAAATACCCATAGTCCATTGTGCTTCCCCCCCACCTCCCCAAATATATCTTTTGTTAAAATTTTTTTAAAGATATTTATTTATTTATATTTTTATTTTTATATTCCCCATACAATTGCACCCCCCTTTATTTTGACCCCAACAAATACCTCTTTTGAACAGATGCTCAGTTGACCTTGAGATGGTTTGTGAAGACATCCTCTCTGTGACTTTACATGATCCCCTTAGTTTAACTTCTCTGTGTTCCCATGCTTATTTCACATATGAATCTGTTTGAGCACATATATTTATTTAGTTATCTGCTTCTCAGATTGCATGTCCTTCAGTGAATTTTTATTACACATAAAAGTATGTAGTTACCAATAATAAGGCAATTCTTAATCCCCCAGGAAGTCTGTTCTGGTTGGTTCTGTTACCTGGTTGATTGTAGTTGCTGCTTTAACTGCTGCCTGGGAATCACAACTCAGGTTATGTTTAAGTTTCTACAAAGCAAGGGTATGGGATAGGGCTCCCTAAGCAACCCTTATCTCTACAATGTTGTCATTATAAGATTTGAATTCATCATTTGAAATGTATTGTGAAATTGTTAATGTTTGCAGATTGCTTAGAGACTTTTTTTTTTTTTTTTTTTTAAATGATGGAGTTTTTTTTTTTTTTTTTTCATGTTTTTATTTATTTATTTATTTGTTCGTTTGTTTCGTTTATACATGCACTGGGTACAGTCAGAAGCGCGGGAGGGTGAGAGAATTCACCAGAGCCAGAGCAGGGAGCAGAGCAGGCAGAAGGACCGAAGTACACTGCTGAGGGGAGCAGCGGGCGGCAGGAGAGGTCTGCGCACCATGTGGGACCCTCCTCCGGTGGCCGGGGAGCAGCCGGGAATTGAACCGGCGCCGCAGAGGCTGCGGGCAGCTTCGCAACCCAGCGCTCAACCGCTGCGCCACCGGGGAGGCCCTGCTTAGAGACTTTTTAACAAGAAGTAGATACCTGTGTTTGGTGTTAACAAATAACCTATTAACTCTTTTCCCTCATTTTTTTTGCACCAACAGCATATTGAAAAAAAAATATACTTAGAAAAATTGTAATATGTTGAAATACTTTGCTTGATAAAACTTAGTTATTTTAAAATAAGTATCAGTATGTTAAATAGTTATAATGAAAAGGAAAATAGTGGCAATATATAGTTTTCTTAATGTTGAAGATATGATGGCATGTTTTTTATTTCTTTTACTTCTTTGTGAAGTGAGCAAGACAAGTACCCTCACGCATGAGGGACTCTAAGCCCTAGAGAGAGTAAGGACTCATACACCCTCTAAATTAAAATGTATTGAGTGCCTACACATGGTACAATGATTGAAGCCTAATGATGAATAATTTACCCTACTTGACTAGGAAAATAGGAGACAGATTGATAAACAAATACATCAGTTATTTGATAATATAGTTGATTATGACAAAAGCACAGAAAATGGTCAAATAACTGTAGGGTGTTGTGTGGTGAGGCTCCACAAAGAAGGTGATTTTTGAAGCATTTGCATTAAAAGAATTAGTGGAGAAACTTGCAAGGTGAAGGGGAGTAGGGTGAGGAGGAGGGCCTTGAAGTAAAAGAGAATGAACATATGTTAAGACCTAAAGTTATGGAAGACCCTGGGTGTTTGGAGAACGGTGTCCACATCAAATGCAACTACATTATTACTGTCGAATAGAAATATAAAAGTATTAAGCTAAAATTTTGCAGTAACAAAATTAAAAATTTTAAAAATTAAAAAGAAATATTAAAAATTTAAAAGGAAATACTAAAAATTAAAAAGAAATGGGGCGTTAATAATAATAATATGCATTGAATCCAATACATCTGCAGTATTTGTTTTTTCATACTTAGTATGAAGTATTTGATTTAAAAGAGAAAATCATGTATGTATTTTATACTTGTAAAACATCTCAGTTTAGACCATCTACATTTTAAGTGCTCAGAATATAGAAGCTTAGGCTGTGTGTGTGTGTGTGTGTGTGTGTGTGTGTGTGTGTGTATGTGTGTGTGTGTGTGAGCGAGAGAGAGAGAGAGAGAGAGAGAGAGAGAGAGAAAGAATGAAAACATGTTGAGGTTGAGATTGAGGTGAAGTTTAGGAAAGAAATGAGGTTGTAGTTGTTGAATACATATTTTGAAAGGTCTTTATGCAGGCTGAATTTGGAATTTATTCTTATAGTATAGTAATTTATGACTGCTTCTCAAATTATATGTGGTGAAAGACCAGTCTTAGATTTTAAATTTATTGCAGACTGATGCTTTCATAATGCAATAGTAGTGAATTAGATAAATGTACAGTTATTTTGTCAATTGTCTATAAGTTGCTGTAGGGTAAATGAAGTTGGTCCGGCTTTTACCCCTTTGGCCTCCATGTCTATCACCTGTGGCCTTGATCTTGTTAATGTAGAAGGTGCGTGAGTGTGGGGCACGAGTGCCTGATTATAATGGGTGTGTGCGCATGTGCAAGTGTGCACACCTGTGCCTAGAAGGGAAGGGATATAAGGGTGGCATTACTCAGACACAGTGTAAAGGCAGGACAGGATCACAGTGCAGGTTTTCAGATCCAGCAGACCAGGTGAAGGAGGAGTCAGAGTCCTCAGTGGTTTTTTGCAGGTCTTTTATTGGGATTTAGCGGGTACATGGCAGGCAGGGGTGCTGGGGGGCCAGGAGGCTGGCAGTCCTCCCAGCCTCCAGCAAATTTTCACTCTCTCTGGGCTCTCTGGCGTTCTCTGCTTCTGCTTCTTTGCTTCTCTCTCGGCTTCTCTTCAGCTTCTGCTGTCGACCCTGTGACGCCGCCCTTAAAAAGCACAGTCTTAGCCCAGGTGAATCCCACCTACGTAGGCCCACACCCTATTCCAGGTGCCTACCCTCAGGCATGCATTCAGGACCACAAGGATCCATTATCTATCCTGATGGCGGGAAGGCAGAAAAGCCTGACATTTTCTTTACCCTACACACAGCTACAGCAGAACAGCTATGAGAGGTCAAGCGGCAGCTACCAGAGGAAGCCCAGAGAAAAGGGTGTGTAGAGATTTGCAAGGGGCTCAAGCTGCTGTCTCCCTGCTGACTGATTCTCCCTACTTACCCTTAAACCCTGTGAAAGTGATGCCAAGGTCTCCAAAATTCTCTTTTAAACTGCTAGAACCAATGGTGAACCTACTTGTCCTGGGATGGTTGCAAAACAGGTGCCTAAACCAGTGCTCCAATAGAACTGTCTATGATGATAGAATGTTTGGTTTGTACTGCCCAATATGGTAGCCACTAGCCACATGTGACTATTAAGCATTTGAAATGCTGCAGTGTAAGAAACTGAATGTTTAATTGAAATCATTTTAATTTCAATCTGTATAAAACTTTTGTGATGCATAGCATTGAATGTTTTTATTAGTAATCTCTGTATTTATCAACCGTGGACTAGTGAAAAGTACTTGGCTTTCATTCACAAGCCACACTTTAATTATCACTATTTGGAGTGCAAATTGTAGAGTGAGAAAACTTTTGTATGTCTTTGGTCAATTTACTTAATAACTATCTTCCTCCTCTAGGATCCTCATGGATCCTGGTTACGATAAGAAACTGTCCACCTGAGTTGTTTAGGGGTTAGGGAAAGCACCAAGAAAAGATGGCTTTTGGAAGGGCCTAAAAGGACAGTGCAAAAACGAAGGGGAAATAGCATATTATGGAGAAGGAACCGCTTGTATCGCCCTGTTCGGAGGGAGGGCATCACACAATTCTGTCCTAGCCCTGTCACTGCTGCCACTGCTTGCTTTCTCATTCCTAGTTATCTTATTTTACTCTTTTATTGTATTTTAAACAGTATTTAAACACCATTATGTTAGTGGATTTTAAACATACTTTAAACTGGATAACATGCTTCTATGGTTTTAATAAATGCTGCCATGTTAATAAGGCCAAACATTTCCTTTTCTTCACTCTTGGGAGTCATGATGCCTCAGGTTGATGGTGGAAGTTGCTAATGAATGGTTGAGGAGAAAAGAGGAATCCTGTTTGAAAAGCAATCTCTGGATGTGGACATATGACAATGTGATTCATTCCCCCTAAATCTTGTTTCTTTTTCACCATAGGTACTGTTAGGAAGAAAACAAACTAAAAAAAAAAAAAAAATGAAGTTCCTTCTCTTCACATTTGTTGGAGTTGTTCACCTTTTATCCCTGAACTCTGGAAAGGCTATATATAAGGAAGATGTCTCTCAAAGAACTTTTCAAGAAATAAAAGAAGAAATAGCCTGCTATGGAGACATTGCTAAAGCAATCATCAACCTTGCTGTTTATGGTAAAGCCCAGAACAGATCCTATGAGCGACTGGCACTTCTAGTTGATACTGTTGGACCCAGACTAAGTGGCTCCAAGAGCCTAGAAAAGGCCATCCAACTCATGTACCAAAACCTGCGGGAAGATGGGCTGGAGAATGTCCACCTGGAGCCAGTCAAAATACCCCACTGGGAAAGGGGAGAAGAATCAGCTGTGATGCTGGAGCCACGAATTCACAAGATGGAGATTTTGGGCCTTGGCAGCAGCGTTGGGACACCCCCAGAAGGTATCATTTGTCTTTTCAATTCATTTTGGTTTTCGTTTTATAATACTAATGTATGTGACATGATTGGCTATAGTATGCATGATTCATATTACAATTTGGGTGATAAAAATACATAATTATCTGCCATTTACTGTCATAACAACTTATCAATTCATACTTTTTCCTTCTTCCTTTTCCTCCCTTACTAATACCTTTTCTAGTAGAAAGGTGATTGTATAGGATCACTGTTTAAATGAAGTATTTATAGCTATAGTTTGATGATATTTATCATCTTTATCTAGTTTTTCTGTCATCTGACATTAGTAACATTCTGTTGAGAGCTGGGGTACATGTAAATAATATACAAAGTATAACTTCAAGTACCCTCGATGTATAGAATTTCTTAGAATTAAGGAATAGGGAGCAGAGTCTTGCACATTGAATTGATTTAGTTATTTTTATAGAATCTGAGGCCCCTAATGAAAAGAATTATCCAAGATGCGGTAGTGTGCAGAAACTGAGGGACACTGTGGGACCTCCAAACTTGCAAGCTCTCAAGGGGTTCTGTCATTCATTGGGTAAAGACAAAGCATACTCCTAGTGTGAAAGAACTTCACAGGAGTAGTGTGCATAGAAAAAGAAGAGAAGAAAGGATAGTAGTTTTTTCCAATAAAACACCCAAAATTGCCAGTCCCCTTAATGGGTAAATGCCCAGGCAAACAAGGTTGGCTCAAAGCAGGGCCACTGAGGCCTGAAAACTTGCCACAAATCTAAGGCATCTCTTGGCAGGAACCATAGAAAAAGTCCAGGCAAGTCTGGGACAAAAGGAAGAAAATGAAAGTACAAATCAAGGTTCCATTTGCCATTGTCAGCCTCTCCACAGGTCTCTTCCAAAGTCTCTACATGTCTCAACTCCGTGGGACTCCTTCCTTTTCTTTCAAATCCCTGGTGCAAGCACAAAGCTGAGAAGAAAACATGCGCTTTTTCTTCACATGTCTTTCTACCCCATGTGTCTCTCCCAAGTTGTCTCTCCAGGTCTTATTCTCCAAGTCTTCTCTCATTTTCCCTCACCACTCAGCTCCATCCTTCATTAGGTAGGACAAAGAACATGGAACCTCCCCCTTTTTTTTAAATGGAGATTTCTCTGTAATACAGGGTAAACAATAAACATCCAGACACAGCTTTATAAGATAATATAAATGCCTAGATTAAGAATATACGATCAGTCAAAAGTGAGCTATTAGTCAGTCTCAAATGTATTCATGGATTATTTTTCTTAAGGCAGAAGTTTATAGAAACTAGTTCATAAAAGGTTTATAGAAACTTCTGATCTTCTCTAATGCTAAGAGGAAGACCAATAGAAAAGTAGATGGTCAGTTTTTTAAAAAAAATCTTTATTGATATATACATGTACATAATAGTTACTCATTTAAATATACAGTTGATTAGTGTTTAATATATTCACAGTTGTAGAAGCACCATCACAATCTAATTGTAGAACATTCTCATAACCCCCAAAATAAACTATGTACCTATTAGCAGTTAATCTCCATCCTTCTCCTCTCTCCACACACTCCTCCCTTCTTTTTTTGCATTATTTTTTGCTCTCTTTCCATCTGGCACTTTCATCATAGGTGTTGATGTACTTAATGGTATCTTAAAGTTCTTGAAGCTCTGCTCATTTACCTTCCTTTATTTTTCTTTCTTTCTTTGTTTTTCAGATTACAGAACCTGTATTGATGTGTTGTCAAGTTCACTGGTTCTTTCTTCTTTTAGTTCAGTTATGCTATTGGGCCCCTCTACTGATTTTTTTTTTCTTCTTTTCAGTTATACTTTTTAAGTCCAGAATTTCCATTTGGTCTTTTTTACACTTTCTTTATTGATATTCTCTATTTGATGAGACATTGTTGTAGCTTTCTTTAGTGACTTTAATGAATTTAAAATAGTGGCTTCAAAGTCTGTCTGAGGTGTCCTACAGCTGGGCCCCCTTCAAAAGCAGTTTCTAATGCCTACTCTTTCCTCCTTGATACTGACTCTTCCTTCCTCTTCCCTGCCCATCGGAGATTGATGTTATTTTATTTGTTTGTTCATCTATTTGTTTAATGACTTAGTGGTACTATATATATATATATATATATATATATATATATATATATACACACACACACATATAGTCTATTTCTCCCACAGTGTACACATTTTGATGACTCTATTTATAGTGATTTTATTTTCCATTATTTTTATTAGTTTGGTTCCCTAGGAGTCACACATGGGCCTGCACAAGCCACTTATTGGCTTGTACTTAGGTCACTTTAGCCTGTTATGTTTTTATCCTGTACTCTTGAATATTTATGTGGCTTGGTAGTCTATTTTATGCTCAAAGTTCAAATAAGGATTAATAACTTGGAAGTTTCCTATGTAGTCTTGGACATGCACATAATCACATAATCTTTCAGTGTGCTTAATAATGTCTCCCCCTCTCCCCCCTCCCCCCTGGTCAGAATAGCTTGTTTTTCAGCCACTGTTAGATCACAGGTTATTCTGAAAACCTCTTATGCCAGTGAGGCTTCTGCCCTTTGTTGATGGTCTGTATGAGGTTTGGGAAATGCTTTCACTTCTGACCCTTGTCTTGTTTTGATTGTTCCTGTGTACTAACATGGGCAGAGCTTTCCCAGCCTCCAGTGTTTATTGTAATCTCAGGATGGCTTTTCTGGTTGCTTCTTTCCCTGACTCCTTCTGGTAAACTTCTGATTGTTCTGCCATTCTGCTTATTGCTAGCATTATCATGAAGCTACCAACACCCATTTAATTGCTTTCAATGAGCTCTTCATTTTTTTTCAATGACACCTTTAGGTGTAGAATTCTCTGTGTTCTGCTCCAAATAAATCACTGCCTAATATAAGTACCGCAGAGTTCTTTATCTTCCCAGCTTGCCATATTCCTCAAGGATCCTCTTTGCGACTTCTCAGGAGGTAGGCACAATGGCAGAGTGATAGCCCTAGCAGGTGCTAGAAGGGGAGGTGGTAGTTTCTGGTCTTCTCAGCTTGCCTCTCCCAGTATAGTGAACTGAGATGGGGGCCATCAAGGTCCCTATTATCAGTGTCTACTCTCAAGGTAGGATTTCTACCATATGAGTGGAGGCTACGTAGAGGGATGGAGCCTTAGTCCTCCTGGAGCAGCATGCCCATATTAGAGTTTTTGTAACATGGAGCTGTGCATGAGAGAAGGAAGTAGGTTATGACCAAATGCAACAGAATTTCAAGACAGTCTTATAAATTGAATGAGAATGAATGTGTCCACATTTGCTGTGTGCCCTTAGTATAATTTTGAGAGACTTCAAGAAATGTTTTAAAAATAATTTTTCCCAGTGCATTGTTTTATAGGGGAGAAGATCTGCCACATTTCTCACCCCACTACTTTGAAGCACTGCTCTGATGGCCAGTTTTGATTTTCTGAGGGTGCATGAGTGAAGTGGTAGGGTCTTCTAAGGTATTGGGGAAATTCTCAGCCTGGGTTCCATAGTGTCAACTGGGAGTTTTGTTCAATTGCCTTCTGTTATATACTAATCTGTTAGGCACCAGCCTGTGTACACATATGTATCTATACGATCCTTTCATTTGAGCCCTCCCAACTGTTTTGAATTTTGTTTTCTAGCCCTTTTTTTGTTTGTTAACAGATGAGAAAATTATAAGAGAGTTAGTTAGTTTACCCAACAAGTAATAGGCCAAGTTCAGGCATGAAAAACTGTCAAATGCATGAGTTTTTGCTTTTAATCATTAGTCTATTGCCTTATGTACACATTTTAAAATATTATTTTCATTTATAAGATTTTTTTTCCTTTTAGTAATCTGCCTGAAGTAGCTCTGTCTAAAAAGCTACTGATACCTATACTGTGATGAAGTGAGGATATATTGGTTTCTGCACATTCTTTTTGGAAATGTTTTCCCATTCCTGTTTCTTTCTTAACATCATTTCTCATTCTGTATCTGGGCCTGCTCTTCCCTATCTGCCTAGTATTAAAAACTAAGCCAAGTAACTGATTGCTCCTGAGGCCTTCAAACCCAGGGGAAGTGAATGTTACTCATTGGAATCTATTGTGGTGATCCAAGACTCACTTTCACCCCACTTCTCATTCTGTGGGGCTTAAAGTATATAAACAGTTGTCTGGCAACTGGACTATTTTAAAGTCTGAGGAGCCTGGAGAGTTAGGTTGGATCAGGTGTGTAAAAATTCCCATAGGAAACAGTGTGAAAGCAGCACATGGGCATCTTTAGACACAGGTAGAATGGTGCAGAGCCACTTCCCCTGGAAACCCATGTTCCAAGCTTGACTTAGTCACTTACTAGTTGTGTGACTTTGGGCCAGTCATTTAATCACTATAGGTCTTAATTTTGTCACCTTAAAATATAAATATAAGTGGGTTTCCAGGTACATGTGCCTCTACTTCATTTTATGATTACTGTCCTCAAAATTCCTTTTACTCATATTCCACAATAATCCATTAATTATGGAGGACCAAAATACTGATTTGCTAACAAAATATAGCTGTTACCTGTATTCTATAACAAACACCTTATTTTTTAGTTGTTTGTTTAAGCAAAAAGTTCATAACACGGTTAAGGCGAGACATAGTGAAGATTTTTATTTTTATAGACTTTGAACATCAGCATCATTGTTTGCAGATTGATGTGCAACTTACTCTTGAAATCGTACTTACAAACTTAAGGTGCCAGTCAAAATGGCTTTGGATTTTAAATTGTATGCAGTAATTGGTACTTTCCTAGTTCATGTCAGAGTATGTGTTCCTCATGTTTTTTCTTTATGAAACTGACTTAGAAATTGGATGAGGAAGAGGTGGAGGTAGCACTAGACCCAGCTTAATGTGTAGAGTTGACTGGTGATTAATGTTCATTTGTGGAAAATAGAATCTACTAGAACTGGTTTAAGCAGACATGAGTATATTACAGGATTATAAATGGTTTACAGAATCATGGAGAAAGCTAATGATACAGACCTTAATT